AATTAATCCGTTCCGTGAGTCTCTTCGTCTTGCGGTTTTTTCGTCTTGCGAAGCACGGCTATTAGCGGCTTAGCGGCTATTAACGGCTTAGCGGCTTTAAGAAAAAGGAAACAAACTCGCAAGAACTCGCAAGACGTTTCGTCTTGCAAAGCAAGCCCATAGGGAAATTCGTCTTGCGGAACGACTCAAAAAACGGAAAACACTCTCGTCTAGCGAGTTTTTCGTCTTGCGAGGCATTCGTCTTGCGGGGCACCACTGTACTGCACATGTAAATGGCTTCCCCCAGAGAATCCTGGGAACTGTAGTTTAAGGGCGCCGAGGCGTTAGGAGATCCCCTCCTTATCCCCTCACAGAGCTACAATTCCCAGAGTGGATTAACCTGTCCCTCTTCCTAGGGAGCTCTGGGAATTGTAGTTCTCCGAGGGGAATAGGGGCCTCACCATACATTTCAGTCCGATTCCATGGCTTCCCACAAAGCATCCTGGGAGCTGTAGTTTGTTATGAGGGTGCTGTTGAGAAGCCCATTCCCGTCATGGAACTACAACTCTCCCAAATACCTTGTGAATTGGGATTGTTAAAGCCGTTTTGGGAACTGTAATAATAATAATAATAATAATAATAATAATAATAATAATAATTTTTATTTATACCCCGCCCTCCCCAGCCAAGGCCGGGCTCAGAGCGGCTTACAAGCAATAATAAAAACAAATTGAATGATTACAACTTAAAAACAAAATTAGAATACAACATTAAAATATTGAAACATTAAAATGTAGCCTCATCGCAGGAGGAGAAGGAAAAGAAAAAAGAAAGAGAGGGAGGGAGGGAATCAAATTGGCTCCAAGCCAAAGGCCAGGCGGAACAACTCTGTCTTACAGGCCCTGCGGAAAGAAATCAGATCCTGCAGGGCCCTGGACTCATGAGGCAGAGCGTTCCACCAGGCTGGGGCCAATGTTGAAAAGGCCCTGTTTCTGGTTGAGGCTAATCTGACTTCCTTAGGGCCTGGGACCTCTAGGGTGTTGCTATTTATGGACCTTAAGGCCCTCCGTGAGGCATACCAGGAGAGGCGGTCCCATAGGTACGAGGGTCCCAGGCCATGAAGGGCTTTAACGGTCAAAACCAGCACCTTGAACCTGACCCTGTACTCCACCGGGAGCCAGTGCAGCTGGAAAAGCACTGGGTGAATATGCTCCCATGGCAGAGACCCCGTGAGGAGCCTCGCTGCAGCATTCTGCACCTGCTGGAGTTTGTGGGACAGCTTCAAGGGCAGCCCCGCGTAGAGCGAATTACAGAGGTCAAGCCTGGAGGTGACCGTCGCATGGATCACTGTGGCCAGGTCGGGGCGGGAAAGGTAAGGGACCAACTGCTTGATGCGGCGAAGGTGGAAAAATGTCGCCTTGGCTGTTGCTGTAACCTGCACCTCCATGGAAAGGGAGGCGTCAAGGATTACACCCAAACTCTTAACGGAAGGCAATGGCACTAATTGGGCCCCTGCAAGAGAAGGGAGTTGGTCCCTCATCCCCATGCCATCCCGACCCAGCCAGAGGACCTCTGTCTTCGAAGGATTTAGTTTCAATCGGCTCCCACGAAACCATCCAGCCATAGCTTCCAAGCATCTGGTCAGTGCAGCTCTGGGAAGGGGAAGAAGGCTCTCCAGAAATCTTTGCGGGAAGCCGTGACCATTTAAAACGGCACCTTAGTGGTTCAAATGGGGGCTAAAAGGGAAACATTGAGGAAAACAGGCATTCCCTGGTCCCGTTGCTATGTTCTGAAACTGGCACGAAATGGGAAAGTCGGAATTAACAGGGGAGGTTCCAGCCTAGAGGAGCTTTGGCCCTCCAGATGTTGCGGGACTACAACTCCCATCAGCCCCAGCAAGCCTGGCCAATGGCCAGCGATGAGGGGAGTTGTAGTTCCGGAGCACCTGGAAGGCCAAGGGCTCCCCAAGCTTCCTGTAGGGCTTAAGTCAGGGAGGGCAGAACCCGTAGCCTTGCAGGTGTTGTCAGATACAACTCCCCACAGCAGGCGGATGATGGGAGTTGTAGTCTTGCCACAGGCCCTGTCAAGGCTGAAATTAGCCATGGCGTTGCAAACCAACACCTCTCCATCTTTGCAGAACAGAGGCTGGACGGCCTTCTGTCATGCTTTAGCCGAGATTCCTGCATTGTAGGGGGTTGGACTAGATCAGGGGTAGGCAAACTAAGGTGCGAGGGCCGGATCCGGCCCAACTGCCTTCTAAATCCGGCCTGAACACGGGAACCAGCGTGTTTTTACAAGAGTAGAATGTGTCCTTTTATTTAAAATGCATCTCTGGGTTGTTTGTGGGGCCTGCCTGGTGTTTTCACACGGGTAGAATGTGTGCTTTTATTTTTTTCGTTTTTTTATTAACAATTTCAACATATCAAAATATCAAAAGATAACATATTCATTATTTTCCCCGCGTTCCCCCCACCTCCCCATCAAACTTCCCCAATACTTCCCTCATCTCCTCTCTCTGATTTCTCAACACATATTATTCTCTGCATACTGTAAAATTGTACAAATCCTTATATTATCTATCTACTATGTTAACAAATCAGAATGTGTGCTTTTATTTAAAATGCACCTCTGGGTTATTTGTGGGGCCGGCCTGGTGTTTTTACACGAGTAGAATGTGTGCTTTTATTTAAAATGCACCTCTGGGTTATTTGTGGGGCATAGGAATTCATTCATTATTTTTTTCCAAACTATAGTCTGGCCCCCCACAAGGTCTGAGGGATAGTGGACTGGCCCCCTGCTGAAAAAGTTTGCTGACCCGTGGTCACTAGATGACCCATGGGGTCCCTTCCAGCGCTACAATTCTATGATATCTGGCGGGTCCTGTAGCTTCTCCCCCCTCCCTCGCTTCTGAGGCCCAGACCCTCCACTGTGATCGAGATGCCGGTCGCTGGGCTAAATAGCTGCGTCGCACAACAGCCCTGCAGAGCCTCCTGTACATCCCGCCTGCTGCTTTGAGCGAGGAACTGGGTGCATAGCATTAACCAGCTCAAGGGGAAAGTTGAAGCTGTGATGAAGTGACGGCCCCTGCCATATGTAAACGAAGCTGGGATTCACTTAAGTGGTGCTTTCAATTACAGTCATACCTCATGTGACGTCCGCTTCATGTTACAGTGACATGTAATTTGTTCTGGAGGTCCGTTCTTAACCTGAAGCACCACTTTAGCTAATGGGGCCTCCCGCTGCCGCCGCGCCACCGGAGCACGATTTCTGTTCTCATCCTGAAGCAAAGTTCTTAACCCAAGGTACTATTTCTGGATTAGCGGAGTCTGTAACCTGAAGCGTATGTAACCTGAGGTACCACTGTACGTTCTTTCAGGTTACGTCCCTTGGCGATCCGGAAGTACCGGAAAGGGTTACTTTCGGGTTTCGCTGCTCACGCATGCGCAGAAGCGCAAAATGACGTCACGCACATGCGCAGAAGCGGCGAATCACAACCCATGCGTGCGCAAACGTGCCGCTGCGGGTTGTGCTCTTTTCATGTTGCAAACAGGCTTTGGGAAGAGATCCTGTTCGTAACCGGAGGTACCACTGTACGCTGAATTTCCACAGCCAAGAAAAATGGACCTGGTGAATGTCTGCCTGTCATGCAGCTGTTAAGAGACAAAGAAGGAAAAGAAGCTACAGGAGGGAAAGCTACAGGAAGTGTTGCGCTTGAAGAAAATAACCACTTGTATTACAAACATAAGCCACAGCCTTGTATATGCTACCTGGTCGCCTGCAGAGAGTTGGAAGAGCCTCTAGGCCAGTGTTTCCCAACCGGTGTTCCGCGGCACACTAGTGTGCTGCGAGGCGTTGCCTGGTGTGCCGTGGGAGGGAGGCGGGCAAGTCGGACGGCGAGAGGCGGGGCGGCGGCGGCGAGGATCCGCGTCGAGCCGGGGGCGGCTCCGCGGTGGTGGTGCCGAGGTTTCTCTCTCCATTCTCCCCTCACACACACACACAGGAAATAACACAGGATCAGCTGACAGGACCCGGCCAATGGGGCGGTGGCGGGGCAGCGCGCGCAAAAGGGAGGAGCGCAAGACAGCGGACGAGGAGGAGGCCGGCATGTCTGGGCAGCAGCAGCAACAACAGCAGCAGCAGCAACTCCCGGCGACGGCTCCTCAAGCCCCGGGCAACCCTACTCCCTCACCGGCCTCGGCCGCCCTCCTGCTCCACCCGCCGCCGCCTCCCCCGCCGCCGCCGGCCACCTCGGCCCCGCCGCCGCCCCCTCCTCCGCCCGCTATCGCCGCCACCACCACAACAGCCGCCGCCGCCTCAGCTGGGCCCATGCCTGTCGGGAGCGGCGGCGGCAGCAGCAGCAGCAGCGCCCCAGCGCCCTTCCCTCCCGGCGTGACGCTGCGCGCTGACGTCACGGGGTGCCTCAAGATTTTTTTCATCAAACAAGTGTGCCTTTGCCCAAAAAAGGTTGGGAAACACTGCTCTAGGCGACCAGCAGGCAAGTGCGCCCCCCAAGTCTTAATTTGGACGCGGGTGGCGCTGTGGTCTAAACCACAGAGCCTAGGGCTTGCCAATCAGAAGGTCGGCAGTTCGAATCCCCGCAATGGGGTGAGCGCCCATTGTTTGGTCCCTGCTCCTGCCCACCTAGCTGTTCAAAAGCACGTCAAAGTGCAAGTAGATAAATAGGTACCGCTCCGGCGGGAAGGTAAACGGCGTTTCTGTGCGCTGCTCTGGTTCACCAGAAGCGGCTTAGTCATGCAAGTCACATGACCTGGAAGCTGTACGCCGGCTCCCTTGGCCAATAAAGCGAGATGAGCGTCGCAACCCCAGAGTCGGCCGCGACTGGACCTAACGGTCAAGGGTCCCTTTACCTTTTATCACAGACACTTGCAGGCAAGTGGGCCAGCGTAAGACTTGAGGGCTTATCTGTAAGGCTGATAAGACGAACCTCAATGAAGTTGAAATTTCTTTCTCTCATTTTTTGTTTTAAATAAGGAAAAAAATCACACAATTTTCATGAAGGCTAGAAAGAAAAATCATTTATTTTTATTTTTTAATTTTTTAAAAAACAGTTCACTGAAGTGAGCCCTTGTTTGTAAAGATTAGGGTGTTCCCCCACCCCGGGAACCCATAACCACAAGACACGTCTGAATTTCCCCCAACCTGAAAGAAAAGATTCCAAAAGAAATTCCAGCGTTAAATGTACAGTACATTTGCATATGCAGATCAGCATCTGATAAACACACCCCTCATTTTGCTAGTCAGGGGGAAGAAAGAAAAGATAATTTTTTCGGGGGGTGGGGGTGGGGGAGGAGGGAACCAAGAAAACCCCGAAGACAAACCCAATGTATTCCAGTTAAGACAGCTGCAGATTTGTTTACAAAAAGTACCTTGTTCTTCCGTTCAGGAACTGAGAAGCCCTTATTGACATCGCAGAAACCCTCCCAGATATATTCACACACATCGTTCCCTCCCACCCGCAAGAAATGGATCACCTCCGTGCCTCTGTTGTGCGTGATCTGGGAATTATTTTAATGTGACTACACAGGCAAAAAACCCCACAAAACACAAAAAACTAGGGAGGCAGGTTAAGAGTGACTGAACAAGGAGGTGGGAAATTAAGTGCCTTCTTATATCATCACCACCGACACAGAACTTTCCAAGTCAGGGGAGAAGTGCGTTAAAACACGGATCCTAGCGGCTAAGATCTCAGATCTTCGCCAGCAAATTAAGGCCTGGTCCACCCAAATTAACCACTGCCTTCCAGCTTAAATTTGCAGCCATCTGTGCCCTAGAATCCGCAGAGACCTGGCTGCCACATTCACCCTACCCAGGTGTTGCGGCTTGAAGAGCTTTGTTTAAGGTGGGTTATTTTTCATCATAAGGTGGTGGTGGGGGGCAAACAGAGACGTCTTCCCACCTATTTCTTTGCAAGGTAAAGCACACAGCCTCCCCCCCCCAAAAAAAAGGAACTCGGGGGAAACAGCCAAAAGCAACATTTTACTTTGAAGAAATGAAAGGGAGGCAGAAGGGATCTGGGAGAGAGAAAGAGGCCAGAGGTTTTATTCCCGCCCCCCCCCAACCCTGAATTCCCATCACACAAATTCCCGATGACGTCCGCGGTCACACACGTTTCGTGCCAGCGGAATTGGATTATCTCGGAACGCCTAACCAGATGGCGGTCACCTGACTTTTAAATTCTGTCTCGTTCCGACGCGATCGCCCGGGAATCCGGCTGGCAGATCCCGCCCCCCCCCCCCGAAAGCAAAGCAGATCCGTTGGAATGTCAGCAAGATTGGGGGCGGGAAGAGAAGTGCATGGTGCGATTGGGTGATTTTGGAAGTGAGGTGGGGGGAACATACAGCGCAGGAATGTTAAAGGGTTAAAACCTCCCACCCCGCGAGATACTTTCAAAGCGTACTTTTCAAGTGCAGTTTCTAACCGTGGTTAAATGCAGCTTATTTGGGGGAGAAAGAAAGATTGCCATCAGGAGCGGGGGGGGGGGCACACCTGGTCACCCCCTCCCTCCCCCCCCCAAAATAAACCCCACTATTCAGGGATCTTAGCAAAAATCAAGGGTTTTAACAGGCACAAAAAGCATCAAAACTTCCGTTCTGTAGGGTAGGCGAAGAGAGGTGCATTTGCACAAAATATTGCCACTATGAAATTCAGGCACAGAGTTCTGCATCCAAGTCCCACACCAGTCTTTTGGTCCTGGGTGCAAGGGGTTTTTTTTGGGGGGGGGGAGGAAGAGGCACAGATCCCTTCGCCGCCGCAGGTTCAATTCGGGAGGGGGCCAAGCAGGCGAGATGTGGTTGCCGCTCTAAGGCTGGCAAGGAGGGACGGAGAGTTAGCTGCAGATGTGCGTTAAGAGCTCGCTGAGCTGTGCAGAACTGCTCCCTCCCCCTATTGAAAGGGGGGGGGGTGAAAGGAGAACGAACACTCCTTGTGGGAGTTATGAGTCACGCTTGCTCAAAAAAGATCACGCCCAAGCAGAGCAGGCTGCGGTGTGGGAACATGGCACAAAGGACAGCGGACAAGACTTCTCTGCAGGGACAGCAGGAGCACGAGGCCTGATAGGTCCCAGAGAGGGTCTGTGTGTGAGGAAGGACCCTACCCGGATCGCTTGGTACCTTCCGTACAATTCCACCACCACGACTCGGTGTTTTCCAGAAAACGAGCGGTTTCCTTTCTCTTCAAAGCACAGAGGAACAGGCTCCCGATCCGTGCCCCGTGCAAAAAGCAAAAATCTACCTTAAGATGCAGCTTGCAGTTGGGGACCCCTGCGCGCATCGAAACAAGGGGTAACCAGAAAAATCAAGGCCTGAGCCATGTGGCCAAGCAACGGCTGCCTCTTTTTCATGGGGGACGGGAGAAGAAAGCTTTCTTCCCGCTGCAGTGCCAAAAAACCATTCACACCGAGAATTTGCCCCTGCGACATACACACAGGGTCCTCACCTGTTGGTTCAGGGGGCGAAAGGAAATCGGGAAAAACTAACTGGATCTTGTGTCAAAGAGAGGGCAGGTTTCTCACCCAGCAAGGCATCCAAGCAAGAAGTTTGCAAAGTTAAATTGAGAAGATCTCCCCATTGTGATCCTGGGCAGGAAGGGGAGGGAGGTGGAAATGCCCGACTACCTGAGTAGACCCATTTTGCTGGGTGGGTGGGGTGGGGACAGAGGACGAATCCATTTCAAGTTCAAAAGCTAGCAATTCGGAAGGGCGGGGTCATTTGCGAGTCCTCCCTGCCCAGGGTGAATCAAGGGATGACAAAGAGAGATTCCGCCCCAAATTGGTCACTGCTTCTTAAGAATCGGCCTCAGATGCAAAGAGGGGGTGGGGGTGGGAAATAAGGGGAAATAGATCTCGAGTTACAGCAGAAGTGTGAAATCAGGGCAAAGTGATTCATGGTCCCTGAAAAGAAAGCTCTTATTTCTTCTGTGCCTCGGATCCTGCGCTTAGTTTAAGCTTCTATGGACCAAAAAGTTTACCAACTTTGTCGGTAAGATTAGGAAGCGAGGAGAATTCGCACCCACCTTGAAAACAACCGGTGGAGCACGTTTCTCAAATCAAGCACACACACACACAAACACACCCCGGTAATGAACGCGTAGTTCCCAAGTTGGAAGACGGTCTCAGCCTCTGCTGAAGCTGAGTTAAATCAGCCTTGCGCCCCCCAAATGCAGGGGCTGTTTGGAGTGGTGGTCCAAAAGAGCTGGAGGGCACCAGGTTGTCAAATACTGGGTCCAATGGTCCTTTCTCTAGGATGGGAAACTTGGCAAGACAGATCTTTAGCCAAGGCTGTGGCCCAGAGATGGGAAAAGAGAGAAGGGGGTGGCGTAGGCGATTCCCCGTTTGGGGAAACAAGTTTTGCAGAAGGATGGCATCGGAACAGGGCAGAGGAGCAAAACAGACCCAGATCGATTCAGTCCGGCTAGAAATCTGGCCAGGTTGGAAGGCAGGAACTCCCCAACCCAAAGTCAAGTGGAAAGCCTGGGAAGCTGTCCAGATCTGTAACCCCCCCCCAAAAAAATCCACCTGTCCCTTGCTGAAAAAGTGGAGGGAAGCTCCAGCTGCCTCCGTCAGGAAGATCTAGGCTCCGGCGAGAGGGAGCCAGCTCCAGCTCTGATTAATGGTTCCTTCAATTCCACCCAACTTGCGGTGGGGGAACTGGTTCGGCCGGGCGTCGGCCTCGCACATCCTTGCCTGCACGAACCCCAGCAGGTTGAGCAGGTCAAGAGAGAGAGGGGAGAGGCAGGGAAAAAGAGACGGGTGTTCCCAGCAAAAGAAGGACAGGGCGCAGCCTGCAGCAAGCAAGGCATTCCGGAATGTGAACCTCCATTGGCAGCACCAGGATGGCACCAGGACTTGAACACGGCTCGTCTCGGGGTGGGAGAGTGTCTCTCTCCCGTGCCCACCTACCCACCCTGCAAAAACGGGCAAGGGCAGTCGGTCCACTTGCGGCCCTTGAACCCAAGGCTTGCGGAAGGCAGGAACGCTAAGCAAGGAGACCAGAATCCATCCTTCGCTCTCAACAAGGTGCCCACCTACCCAAACACACTGCCATTATGGCATGGGCAACCTCGCCAAGCTCTGCCCACAAGGCAGCTCAGCTTTCAGGCTGAGGACACCACAGTTTGGAGAACCAGAGGAGTTGGGGGGCAGAGAGAAAGATTAAAGGGGTGCAAACCTAGCAGACATAGCTTTCGTATATAGGGTTGGGGATAAACGTCTCCTCGCCCCCCACCCCTTTGCTCCCAGGAGAGAGGAGGAAGCGAAAGAGAGAGAGAAAAATCTCTTGTGGACAAACTTGCTGCCACGTCCCTTTGCCGAGAAAACTCTCCGCTTCTGCCACAGCAAAGCAATTTGCCGAGAAAACTCTCCGCTCCTGCTAGAGCGAAGAATCCGTTTCAAATTTTTTGTTGAGGAGGAAAAGAGAATATATATATGTTCTAGGATTCATTGGTTAGAGATTCTTTTTGTGTGTGCGCGCGTAAATTATATATATATATATATATATATATATATATAGATAGATAGATATAGATATATATAGCCCTAGAATTATGATTTGTAGTTGGAAGTAAGCCACATTAAACCTTCGTAAAGTCCTTCCCCCGACGTCGCGCAGGACGGCTGGACGTACCAATTTCTGTCCCTAATGCGCGTGAGGCCCAGTTTCTCCTGGATCTCGTGGGGTTTCATGGCGTCGGGGAGGTCCTGTTTGTTGGCAAAGACGAGGATGATGGCGTCTCGCATCTCCCGGTCGTTGATGATGCGGTGGAGCTCCTGCCGGCCTTCGTCGATCCGGTCGCGGTCGGCGCAGTCCACCACGAAGATCAGCCCCTGGGTGCCGGTGTAATAGTGTCTCCACAGAGGGCGGATCTTGTCCTGCCCCCCGACGTCCCAGACATTGAACTTGACGTTCTTGTAGGTCACCGTCTCCACGTTGAAGCCCACCGTGGGGATGGTGGTCACCGGCTGGCCCAGCTTCAGCTTGTAGAGGATGGTGGTCTTGCCGGCGGCATCCAAGCCCAGCATGAGGATCCTCATCTCCTTGTTGCCGAATATCTTTGATAGCATCTTTCCCATGGCTGCGGGCAAGCACCACAGTCCATACAAGGCTGAAGAGAAGGAGGAAACAGGAGAATATCAAAATTAACAAGGCCCTTCCATTGCTCTCTACTTCAGGTTACGATAAGCCCCATGCAATATAGAACAGAGTACAGTGGTACCTCGGGTTACAGACGATTCAGGTTACAGACGCTTCAGTACCTCAGGTTAAGAACTTTGCTTTAGGGACGCGGGTGGCGCTGTGGGTTAAACCACAGAGCCTCTTGGGCTTGCCGATCAGAAGGTTGGTGGTTCGAATCCCCGCGACGGGGTGAGCTCCCGTTGCTCGGTCCCTGCTCCTGCCAACCTAGCAGTTTGAAAGCACGTCAAAGTGCAAGTAGATAAATAGGTACCGCTCCGGCGGGAAGGTAAACGGCGTTTCCTTGCGCTGCTCTGGTTCGCCAGAATCGGCTTAGTCATGCTGGCCACATGACCTGGAAGCTGTACGCTGGCTCCCTCGGCCAGTAAAGCGAGATGAGCACCGCAACCCTAGAGTCAGCTACAACTGGACCTAATGGTCAGGGGTCCCTTTACCTTTACAGTGGTACCTCGGGTTACAGACACTTTAGGTTACAGATGCTTCAGGTTACAGACTCTACTAACCCAGAAATAGTACCTCAGGTTAAGAACTTTGCCTTAGGATGAGAACAGAAATTGTGCGGCGGCAGCAGGAGGCCCCATTAGCTAAAGTGGTACCTCTGGTTAAGTAGAGTTTCAGGTTAAGAACGGACCTCTAGAACAAATTAAGTTCTTAACCCAAGATACCACTGTGGTACCTCGGAAGTCGAACGGAATCCATTCCTGAAGTCCATTCGACTGCCAAAATGTTCGGAAACCAAGGCCCGGCTTCCGATTGGCTGCGGGAAGCTTCTGCAACCAATCAGAAGCTGCGGAAGATGTTCAGGCTCCAAAGAATGTTCAAAAACCGGAACACTCACTTCCGGGTTTGTGGTGTTCGGGAGCCAAAACGTTCGACTGTAGCTGTGTTTGAAATTGGCCAGGCGTGTTTTGCTACTGGCGCAGGTCCGATGGCAACCGCGTGGAGATTTCTGGGCGCCAGGTTTAAAAAGCTCTGCCTTAAAGGTAAAGGTACCCCTGCCCGTACGGGCCAGTCTTGACAGACTCTAGGGTTGTGCGCCCATCTCACTCTAGAGGCCGGGGGCCAGCGCTGTCCGGAGACACTTCTGGGTCACGTGGCCAGCGTGACATCGCGGCTCTGGCGAGCCAGAGCCGCACACGGAAACGCCGTTTACCTTCCCGCTAGTAAGCGGTCCCTATTTATCTACTTGCACCCGGGGGTGCTTTCGAACTGCTAGGTTGGCAGGCGCTGGGACCGAACAACGGGAGCGCACCCCGCCGCGGGGATTCGAACCGCCGACCTTTCGATCGGCAAGCCCTAGGCGCTGAGGCTTTTACCCACAGCGCCACCCGCGTCCCATAGCTCTGCCTTACTCAATAGTTAATGCCATTTCCAACGTGTGTTTCTCCCTCTTGAATACTGGGACCAGTGAATTGTTGTAAGAGCAAGCGACAGTCCAGCCATGTAGCTGAGATCATAGAACTGTAGCGTCGGAAGGGACCCCCGAAGAGTCATCTAGTCCAACCCAGTGGCGAACAGGCATTCCATTGCAGCAACCGCAACCTAGATTCAAGGTGCCATAGTATAAAAAGTAAAGGGACCCCTGACCATTAGGTCCAGTCGTGGCCGACTCTGGGGTTGCGGCGCTCATCTCGCTTTATTGGCCGAGGGAGCCGGCGTACAGCTTCCGGGTCATGTGGCCAGCATGACTAAGCCGCTTCTGGCGAACCAGAGCAGCGCACGGAAACGCCGTTTACCTTCCCGGTGGAGCAGTACCTATTTATCTACTTGTACTTTGACGTGCTTTTGAACTGCTAGGTTGGCAGGAGCAGGGACTGAGCAACGGGAGCTCACCCCGTCGCGGGGATTCGAACAGCCAACCTTCTGACCGGCAAGCCCTAGGCTCTGTGGTTTAACCCACAGCGCCACCCGCATCCTAGCTTATATAGTATACCTGAGTTTTAACAGGGCTGGATTGGGAAAGCTCCACAATGGGCGGCTGTTTGGGGGAAGCAGGGGCTAGGGAGATGGACGTCTGCAGACGTACTGGTTGTGAGCCGGATGCTGGGGGGGGGGGAATGAGCCTTTCAATGACATCTCCCACAAAATTCAAGGGTGATCGCCGAAGAATGGATGCTTTTGAATTATTATGGTGCTGGAGGAGACTCTTGAGAGTCCCATGGACTGCAAGAAGATCAAACCTCTCCATTCTGAAGGAAATCAGCCCTGAGTGCTCACTGGAAGGACAGATCGTGAAGCTGAGGCTCCAAGACTTTGGCCACCTCATGAGAAGAGAAGACTCCCTGGAAAGGACCCTGATGTTGGGAAAGATGGAGGGCACAAGGAGAAGGGGACGACAGAGGACGAGGTGGTTGGACAGTGTTCTCGAAGCTACCAGCATGAATTTGACCAAACTGCGGGAGGCAGTGGAAGACAGGAGTGGCTGGCGTGCTCTGGTCCATGGGGTCATGAAGACTCGGACATGACTAAACGACTAAACAACAACAACAAGGGGATAAAAGACCCTTTCTGAAGATACGAGCTGTTTGAGAGAGGAACGGTCTCCCTCGGGAGGTGGCGAACTCTCCTCCTTTGAGGTTTTCAAGCAGACGTTTGTGGCCATTTGTCATGGATGCTTTAGCTGAGATTCCTGCATTGCATTGCAGGGGGTTGGACTAGATGACCCTCGGGTCCCTTCCTATGATCCTCTAATCCAGTGTTCCCCAACTTTGGGCCTCCAGCTGTTTTTGGACTACAACTCCCATCATCCCTCGCTAGCAAGACCAGTGGTCAAGGCTGATGGGAATTGTAGTCCAAAAACAGCTGGAGGCCCAGGGATGGGGAACACTGCTCTAATCTGTGTGCCCCCATCGTAATCAGCCCCTCCCCAACCTTCCCCAGGGCAACTTAAGACCTGGGCACCCCAAGGAAAGGCAGCCAGCCAGCGCGGTGCAGCGGTCAGAGTGCCGGGCTGGGACGCGGGGGACCAGGGTTCGAATCCCCGCACGGCTACGGAGCTCACTGGGTGACCTGGGGCCAGCCACTGCCTCTCACACTAACCTACCACACAGGTTGTTGTGGAGATGAAATGAGGTGGTCCCTTATGCTCCTTGGAGGAAAAGATGCGAGATCAATAATAGAATTGTCGAGTTGGAAGGGACCCTGAGGGTCATCCAGTCCAACCCCTGCAAGGCAGGAATATGCAATAAATAAATAGGGTGATCTGGCCTAGATTTCATTTTACCATATTCACCCTTACATGCCCTACGTCCCAGCTGCTGCCTCCTCCAGCCACGTTCCTCCAGAATCATCCCCCCTTTTCTCCTTTGCATGGTCCCATCACCATCTCCTCTGGCAATTTGTACCCAGACAATGACACTCAAGGTGGCAACCGGTATCAGGCAAAGCTTATATAAAACAGTCGTCCGCTTGGTCGCCTGTGGCGAGCTCAGAATCTCTGGCGGGTGACCAGGATAGAAAGAGTTGGTTCCTTCCTTTCTCTCTCCCCCCCCCCGCACACAACTACACAGTGGCATAGCGTGGGGGGTGCAGGGGGGCCGGCCGCACCGGGCGCAACATCTGGGGGGGGCGCGCTCGCCGCCTCCGGAGTCGCCGAAGAGCCTCGGCCGCAGGCTGTAGCAGAGCCCCATCTCTAGCGGAACCGACGAGCTGGCAGCGGCTCTCAGCGCTTGCCGCGGTCCCCGCGCGTCAGGGCTGCGGAGGGCGCGCCAGGCAACCGCTCCTCACAGCCCCGCCGCCGCAGCTGCTGGGCCATGTTGCATTTTCCTCGCCTCTCTGCCCTCCTCCTCCTCCGGGCAAGCGGCGTCGTTTGGGCAGCAGCGCCAGCGGCAACTCGCCTCAGATCACCTGACACGGACCCGCCGCCGCCACCATGGCTACCTTACCGTAAATACCCCAGCCCAGGCAGCAGCAAGAAGAAGCTGGCAGCGGCGGCAGGTTAGGGGGCGCAAATTACTTGCCTTGCCCCGGGTTAGGGGGCGCAAATTACTTGCCTTGCCCCGGGTGCTGACAACCCACGCTACGCCGCTGCAACTACAGTATTTTTTGCTCTATAAGACTCACTTTTTCCCTCCTAAAAAGTAAGGGGAAATGTGTGTGTGTCTTATGAAGCGCATGCAGGCTGCGCATCTATCCCAGAAGCCAGAACAGCAAGTGGGATCGCTGCTTTCACTGCGCAGCGATCCTTCTTGCTGTTCTGGCTTCTGAGATTCAGAATATTTTTTTTTCTTGTTTTCCTCCTCCAAAAACTAGGTGCATCTTGTGGTCTGGTGCGTCTTATAGAGCGAAAAATACGGTAGCTTCTTTTGGGGCAACTGATTCTCTAGAAAGAGGTGAATGCACACAGGAGAGCCATGGCATTGAGGACTAGTCACGTGCGAGGACTCGATTCTCAACGACGGCACCACGGTTCCGCCAACCAAACAGCAGCTTCTGAACAGGAACAGGAAGTGAGGACTACGGGGCGGCCCTAGAGGCAGAAAGACTAGACTCGCACCATTCTCTGGGGCTTGACATTGACCTGGTTTCCCACTAACTTCCTGTACGAAGGGTAAATTTATTTACTTACTTACCCAAAGGGACAGGGCATAGTCACCCTACACCCACAGACAACTTAATGACAACTTCCATTTCCGCCTCTGAAAATGTGGGCTGCGCGTCACTCTAGCGCAGGGGAGGCAACAGGCAGGGAAGCATCCTCTTGCGGGACTACAATTCCCATCATCCCCGGCCACGCCGGCAGGGACTGATGAGATTTGTAGTCCGGGACGACAACCAGCCTTTCTCAACCTGTGGGTCCCCAGATGTTGTTGAACTACAACTCCCATCACCCCTAGCTAGCAAGTCCGGAGCTCAGGGATGATGGGAGTTGTAGTCCAACAACATCTGGGGACCCACAGGTTGAGAACCGCTGATCGGATGGCCTTCTGTCATGGAGGCTTTAGCCTTGCATGGGGTTGGACTGGATGACCCCCGGGGTCCCTTCCCAGTCTAGGATTCTGTGATTCTACTCCTGCCCTAGCGAATCTGGCTCTCCCGATTTAATTCCTGCCTTTTCACCCTGTTTCTCTTGGGCTCCTTCTTGCTTTGGAACAGCTTCTCCCTCCCCGTTTTCCAAACCACTTCCCCTTCCTGCACCTTCACCCCCTGCCTTCTCCTCCACTGCTTCTCACGGTCTGACATTTAACGGTCTCGCTTCTCCCATTCCTAGAAGTGGCCGACCGACATGCACAGGGAGCCCCCCAGGGTGGGTGGGTGGGGGTGCCAGCCTCAAAACGCTCCATCTGTCGTCGCCAGCACTATGGCAATGTGAAACAGGCCGGCGGTCGGGTCAGAAGGGCGGGATACGAATAACAAAATTATTTTCGCTGCTGTTGTCGCTATCAGCATTATTGCAACAGCGTCCCTGAAATTTGCAGAGTTGCATGATTTGCACGGCTAGTTCTACTTGTTCTATTCAAGGGGAAGCACAGAAGCCCCTACTACTATGACACCCCCACTGAAAAGTCCTACCAATCTCACTTCTGCCTATCTGAAAGCCCCCCCCCCAACACTTTCAATCTGACCCGACTGTCACAGTCATAAGGTCTAGAAACTTGCGGGGCTTTTTTAAAAAATCAAGATTTCCAGAATGCCAAATCTGGCATTCGGTTTTAAGATCCTTCTCCCCATACACCTGAGGCCTCGGAAATAGTAGTTGTAGTAGCGCATGGGTGGGGGAATTTGTGGGCCTCCAGATAATGGCAGGGAGGCAGTGTGGTGTAGTGGTTAGAGTGTCAGACCAGACCTTGGGAGAGAGCAGGGTTCCGGTCCTCACCCAATCACGATGCTCACCTTGGGCCAGGAAGTGCCTCTCAACCTAACCTACCTCCCAGGGTTGTTGTGAGAGTAATATTGGGGAGGACCATGTACTTGAGCTCCCTGGAGGAAAGGTCACAGAATTCTGGAGTTGAAAGGGACACCTAAGGGTCATCCAGTCCAACCCCCTGCAATGCAGGAATCTTTTGCCCAACACGGGTCTCGAACCCTTGACCCTGAGATCAAGGGTCTCTCAGTTCTACCGACTGAGCTATCCCTGGTGGCTATATTTTTCCTCCAGGATCAGAGGGACGCTGCCTATGGATTGCGGGCCCCAAGAGACGGCTAGAGCATGAGACTCTTAATCTCAGGGCTGTGGGTCTGAGCCCCGCATGGGGCAAAATAAGCACTGCAGGGGGTTGGAATAGATGACCTTTGGGGAGCCCTTCCCACTCCCAATTCTACTCCTCCTGTGCCCGGCTTGTGAGCATCCCATAGACATCTGGCTGGCCACTGTGGGTGCAGAATGCGTCCCAGCAGTTTAGGGCAGAAGGAGTAAACACACACAGGTCTCTCTTTTCTATGCCCTTAATTTGACATGGGCTCAGGTACAGTACTGAATTTGCCTTCACAAATCACCCCGAGAGCCAGTGGTTAAATGCACCAGATTAGGCCCTGCGAGACCCGAGTTCAAATCCCCACCGGGCTACATGAAGCTCACCGGGTGACCTGGGGCCAGTCGCCGCCTCTCAGCCTAACCTACCCTCGTCGCACGGAAGAATTAAATGAGATGGGGGGGAGCCACGCCTGCCACCTTGAGCTCCTTCGAAGGTGGGGCCAAAATGCAGAAAGTAATAATAAAACTAGTGCTTTTTTAAACCCATTTCACAGAGAGGGGAAGTGAGACTGGGAGGCCGTGGGGAAGCCCACAGGAGGTTTAAAGTCCTGTTCGTTCCAGCAGAACTTCGATACACGTCCTTTGCTCTGGACTGTGGCCAGCGAGCTGCGCGAGGTCATGTAAGGATTCTGCGGCAGCGGTGGTACTTGAACCCCGACCCTCCTCAAAGCAGCACAGAGACCAGGCAATAACACCTCCCTCCCCTTTTCTCTCCAACCCAGAACAAGCAAGGACTCCTGGAGAAGTCCTATTCTAATCCCCTAACAGGGAAGTATGGGAAACTAAGAACACCCCAATTTCTCTAAGCCCGGGTGATCTATCCCCTTATATCAGGGGTCAGCAACCTTTTTCAGCCGGGGTCCGGTCCACCGTCCCTCAGACCATGTGGTGGGCCAGACTCTATTTTGGCAAAGAAAATGAACGAATTCCTATGCCCCACAAATAACCCAGAGATGCATTTTAAATAAAAGCACACATTCTACTCATGTCAAAACACACTGATTCTCGGACCGTCCGCGGGCCGGATTGAGAAGGCGATTGGGCTAGATCCGGCCCCCGGGCCTTAAGTTGCCTACCCCTGCCTTATATTCTGGACACTGATGTCCAGCGCCAAGGGCCTTCTGGTGGTTCCGTCACTGCGAGAAGCAAAGCTACAGGGAACCAGGCACGGGGCCTTCTCGGTGGTGGCACCCGCCCTGTGGAACGCCCTCCCATCAGATGTCAAAGAGATAAACAACTACCTGACATTTAGAAGACATCTGAAGGCAGCCCTGTTCAGGGAAGTTTTTAACGTGTGACATTTTAATGTATTTTTTAATCTTTGTTGGAAGCAGCCCAGAGTGGCTGGGGAGACCCAGCCAGACGGGCGGGGTGCAAATAATAAATTATGATTACTATTATTCTCACAACACCCTGCAAGGCAGGCAAAAAGCCTTCCAGTGTGCTTCGGGGCTGAGCGAGGACCCGAAAAAAGGATTTCCCCAGCCTAAAACCCATCTCAACACCACACCAGATCTCAGTGAGGGGGGTGGGATTCTTCCACCACAAACCTCCCAGAGGGACTGGCAGCGGGGTCACAAGTCCTCCTTTCGGTGAGCCTGCCTAGGCTCCAAATCCATAACCTGGTTGTGTTTGTGTGCGTCCCTAATTTCAAGAGTGCGAACTTCCATTTTGATTCCCAACTTCTCCCACACGCAAAAGCCACATCAATGGAAGCCAGCATCCCAGGACAGGTATGAAGGTCACTCTCAAGTTTACAGAGACTCCTAGACGCATGTGCTCCCCACGCTCATTTCAAACCTGGGGTTTTGATTTCAGTTCCTTGCTAGGGCCCAGCAGCCGAAAAAGTTATTAATTGTGAGTGGGTGGGCTATCTGCAAGGCTACTCCACTCACCCAGTATGCAATACTGAGTGTTAAGGACTTTCTACGTTGACGGAGACTTGATTTTATTGCCACGCCGCTTTTCCAGGTGTCTGTCGTTCTACCCCCCCCAAAAAAAAATTCTCCAAAAATTCAAAATAGAGGCATGGGGGAAAAAAATACTCTCAGCCAGTGAGGAACAGGTGACAAAAGTTTTAGACACAGACACCGAGGAAAGGTTCTCTCCTCCATACTGGAAGTAACAAACCGTAATGGAAATCAGGCTCCGCGAAGCATTTCAAAATCACGCCAGGACTTTTTGAAAAACGAAAACCGAGGCAACTCCCCCCGTTTCAAAATGGCAACCTCCAAGAAGATGCAGATTTCTCCCCCCCCTTTTTTTTTGGCAGGCAGATATGGAAAAGAATGAAACACACAGAGAGAAAGATCTGAATGGAAACAAAAATGAATTCACAGAGATTTCCTCCACGGCTCAACTCCTTCCCCCCATCCCTCGCTATTGCTACAGAGGAACTGGGTCAAAGAGCTCTACGTGACCGGAGTGGGGGAGGCCAAAGGGCACCATCCAGACGAGAGCGCAAAGCTCACACGTGTCTTTTGCCTTTATTAAGAAGTTTTGTGGAGTGAGCAGCTGTAACAAAGGGAAAAGCGCGGGGCGGCGAGGGAGAGACGGGTCCCTAGATAACTGGAAGGAAATGAGATGTCCAAGCCTACCCCCGCCCCAGGGGAGTCTCAGATGAATTAGATCCCCCCCCCAAATCCCTCCAGTTCGGAGAGAGTGCCACAATTCACACAACACACCAGACCCGACTCTTTAGGGCGTCTTCTGAATATGGCACCGATTCAAATCTAGCAAAGTACTGTCCAAGCAGGGAAAGAACTTGGGGGGGGGAGACATTAAAGATTTGGGGGGGGGGAGAGAGGGAGACCCCCTTGCTTGCTCCGGTCACCCCCCCCCCGCCCCACCTCTTTCAGGCAAGCGTGCGCAACGCTTCCGGAAAGCGAACACGCGTCCGCAGCCGCCCGAGCGCTCGCTCCGCTTGTTCCTGTCTAAACGGCAGTTTTAATTCAAACCCCAGATGTCCCACCCAGGAGAAGTTTCCAACGTCGGTGGGGTGGTGTGGGGGGAGGCGAGACCCACACCCGCCTCGCTTCTCTTTGCAAGCGAGTTAAAGCTACCAGATTTGCCAAATCAGACCCCACCCCTAATCCCCCCCAAATCGAGTCCTTGCAGGCGCTTCTACGAATCTGTACGGAAATCAAACAGGAAGGCAGCCGGGGTCGTGAAAAAGCCACGCGCCCCTCTTCCTCATCGCGACCCCCCCCCACTTCAAAGATTTGCAAACTTTATTTTTGCAAGGATTTTGGGCAACTTCTGGAAAGGCGCGTACGTTGAGTGGAGAGGGCGAAAGAAGCGAAGCAGCTCTAAAAACCCCACCCCAAATTTCTGTCAAAATCCGTGGGGGGGGGTGTACAAATCAAAGGGCCCGGCGCCGTCTCCCCCCACGCCTTCAAGCGAGCGTCGACCGAGAAAAGTGCGTTCACACGATCGGTCGGGCAAGAGAGGTTCCGAGCGAGCCCCCGACCCAAGCTCGGGCTTCTCCTCGTTACGGGGCACACGTGTTGGAACCGCCGCCGCCCCCAGTGGGGAGGGGAAGGGTTGCTCCGGATAGGAGGGTGTTGTGGGGGGGGGAGAAACGTGCGCGCACCCACCCAGGGAAAATGAAGGGAGAAGCCTCCCATCAGCGCCACACTCACCTTGGAAGAAGCAGCGGGAGAGGGGGGAAGAAAAGTAGCCGCTTCCTCTGGCCGCGGGGGGAAGAAGGGGGGGGTCCCTTCTTTTCGAGCGAGGGAGCCCAGGAGATCAAAGGCGAGCGGGCGCGCCTTTCGAACGCTGGGACAAACTTTCCACTTCCGAAGAACGCGACGTCACAATGGGGGGTGTTTTCCTTCCCGGCGCCTCAACGTTCCACGGCGCTCCCGAGCTCGCCGGCGCCGCTGCCGTCGCTGCTCAAACCGCAATCGCCGCCGCCGCCGCCTCCTCCTCCACCTCCAATTGCTGCTGCTGCTGCTCCTTCCGCCGGCTGCAAAGTCATCCGCAGCTTCCTCCCCCAGGGCCACTCACTTGGCACTCCCCCCCCCCGCAACACACCCACCCACCCCAGAAAGCTCTTTTTGGGGTGCCGGGTGAGTTAGGGCGCAGCCGCAAGCAGCCGCCCCGACGGGAAAAGCCCTACCGGAGAAAGAGGGGGGTGGACTAGGGGGTGGGAGGGTGGGATCTCCCTTTGCTCCGTTTCCCGGCTTGCCAAAACCCCGCCCGCTTCGGCTGGCTGGCGCGCGCGCGCGCTTTCTCAACAGCCCCCCCCCCAACCCGCCTCCGCCTCGCTTGCTCGCTCGCAAGCCTGTCCCGGAATAGGAAAGGGCGCGGACGGAGAGAGGAAAGGGTCCTCCCTTCCTTGCTGGCGTTAATGCGCATGCTCCCCGGCCTCGTAAAAGGGGGAGGGCATTTTCTCTGCTGCTGCTGCTGCTGCTGCTGCTCACCCCACACCCATCCAGCGTGGAGCTGTCGTCTGACTTGTCAGTCTGGGCGAAGAGGACAGTTGCCAACTTCTGATGGCTGATAATGACATCTGGACACCTCCATTATTCCTGTATCTTAAAAAAGGAAGGGCGTTTCAGCAAGGGAAGCTTTTCCTAGCAAGGGGGGGCCGGGGGGGGAGAGGAAGCCTCGCGATTCCCAAGTTACTTTTGCTTCCCTCCTCGGGACACAGGAAACTCCTTGTATCGAGTTAGATCAGGCGTCCCCCAACCGGCAACCCTCCAGATGTTTTGGGACTACAACTCCCATGATCCCTAGCTAACAGGACCAGTGCTCAGGGATGATGGGAACTGTAGTCTAAAACATCTGGAGGGCCGAAGGTTGGGGGGTGCCTGAGTTAGACCATTGCTCCATCTACCTCAGTATTGAAAACAGAATAAAGAGGTACCTCTGGTTGCGAACAGGATCCGTTCCGGAGCCCCGTTCGCAACCTGAGCAGAATGCAACCCGTGTCTGCGCGTACGAGCGGTGAAACCTGGTAGTAGTAACCCGTTCCGTTACTTCCGGGTCGCCGCAGAGCGCAACCCGAAAACGCTCAGCCAGAAGCGTCTTTAACCCGAGGTATGACTAAAAAAATTCCTTCCAGTAGCACCTTAGAGACCACACAAAAGCTCCTACCAATAACAAACTTAAAAAGGTAAAGGGACCCCTGACCATTAGGTCCAGTCGCGGACGACTCTGGGGCTGCAGCGCTCATCTCGCTTTATTGGCTGAGGGAGCCAGCGTACATCTTCCGGGTCATGTGGCCAGCATGACTAAGCCGCTTCTGGTGGACCAGAGCAGCGCATGGAAACGCCTTCAGATGTCTTCTAAACGCCAGATAGCTGTTTATTTCCTTGACATCTGGTGGGAGGGCGTTCCACAAGGCGGGTGCCACCACCGAGAAGGCCCTCTGCCTGGTTCCCTATAACTTGGCTTCTCGCAGTGAGGGAACCGCCAGAAGACCCTGGACCTCAGTGTCCAGGCAGAACGATGGAGGTGGAGACGCTCCTTCAGGTATACAGGACCGAGGCCGTTTAGGGCTTTAAAGGTCAGCACCAACACTTTGAATTGTGCTCAGAAACGTACTTTCAAGACCGGTGTTATATGGTCTCGGCGGCCACTCCCAGTCACCAGTCTAGCTGCCGCATTCCGCATTAGTTGCAGTTTCCGGGTCACCTTCAAAGGTAGCCCCACAGTAGAGCGCATTGCAGTAGTCCAAGCGGGAGATAACTAGAGAATGTCCCACTCTGGTGAGACAGTCTGCGGGCAGATAAGGGTCTCAGCCTGCGTACCGGATGGAGCTGGTAGACAGCTGCCCTGGACACAGAATTGACCTGCGCCTCCATGGACAGCTGTGAGTCCAGAATGACTCCTAGGCTGCGCACCTGGTCCTTCAGGGGCACAGTTACCCCATTCAGGACCCAGGAGTCCTCCACACCAGCCCATCCCCTTCCCCCCCGAAAACAGTACTTCTGTCTTGTCAGGATTCAACCTCAATCTGTTAGCCGCCATCCATCCTCCAACCTTTATCGCTTTATAAGCAAAAACTGATCCTAGAAACCCCTTAGTTGCTGGTACAGTTGAGGCGGATTGGTGTTTATGTGCTTAGACCCTGGTCTGCAATCTAAACCAATGAGTTCTGCACCAGCTACGGTTTCTGAACCGTCTTCAAGGGCAGCCCCAAGTATAGCACACTGCGGTGGTCTAAGCCTGGAAGCCACCAGAGCATTGACAACAGAAGTTAGGTTCTTTCTGTGCTGCATTTTTGTATACTGCTTCGAGACGTTTAAATATTAAGTGGCTTGGATACATGCCTTTAAATAAATAAATACATGAATAAGATACATAAATAAATAAAATTAATTTGCTGGTGGCTCCGCTCTGTCTCTTGCATGCTTGCACTCATTAACAGCTCTTGCCCTCTGCTGATTTAAAAGCCAAGGAGGCCTTTGGTGGTTTAAAAAAATATATATATTTGGAAGAATGCCAACAGGCTGTGCGGGCACAGTTCAAAAGGTACGCCAGCAGCTGCAGTGGGCGATGTGGCTGGCTGAGCATGGCGCATGGATCTAATGTTCATGTGCAGTTGTGCGCATTTATGTCCATGTGCACTTTAGGGAAGTTTCTAATGTTTGATAGTTTGATGATGATGATGATGATGTTGGGAGCCACCCAGATGGGTGGGGTAACAACAATGTGCACTACGTCTGATCTTTAAAGCCCTAAACGGCCTCGGTCCAGTATACCTGAAGGAGCGTCTCCACCCCCATCGTTCTACCCAGACACGGAGGTCCAGCGCTGAGGGCCTTCTGGTGGTTCCCTCACTGCGAGAAGCCAAGCTACAGGGAACCAGGCAGAGGGCCTTCTCGGTGGTGGCACCCGCCCTGTGGAACGCCCTCCCACCAGATGTCAAGGAAATAAACAGCTATCTGGCGTTTAGAAGACATCTGAAGGCAGCCCTGTTTAGGGAAGCTTTTAATGTTTAATAGGTTATTGTATTGTTAGTGTTCTGTTGGAAGCCGCCCAGAGTGGCTGGGGAAACCCAGCTAGACGGGCGGGGTATAAATAATAAATTATTATTATTATTATTATTAGGACACGGGTGGCGCTGTGGGTTAAACCACAGAGCCTAATACATGCTGATCAGAAGGTCAGCAGTTTGAATCCCCGCGACGGGGTGAGCTCCCGTTGCTCGGTCCCTGCTCCTGCCAACCTAGCAGTTCAAAAGCACATCAAAGTGCAAGTAGATAAAAAGGTACCACTCCGGCAGGAAGGTAAACGGCGTTTCCATGCGCTGCTCTGGTTCGCCAGAAGTGGCTTAGTCATGCTGGCCACATGACCCGGAAGCTGTACTCCGGCTCCCTCGGCCAATAAAGTGAGATGAGCCCCGCAACCCCAGAGTCGGCCATGACTGGACCTAATGGTCAGGGGTCCCTTTACCTTTACCTTTTGCCCAAAGGCAAAACCAGGGGCTGTGGCAAGAAGCAGTTAATGAGGCACTCCTGATACATAGGAACCCAGGGAGCTGCCTTATACTGAATCAGACCATTGGTCCACCAGGCTCAGTACTGCCTAATCTAACTGGCATTTTCAGATAGAGATCTCTCCCAGCCCCAGCTGGAGGTGCCAAGGATTGCATCTGAGACTTTTTCCGTGCAAAGCACATGTCCCATCACAGAACCGCTGCATTTCCCCAAGTCCAGATAGGAGTGTGATAAGAACTTGCTCTCACAGTGGCCAACCAGATGTCCCTGGGAAACCCACAGGAAGCCCTCAAGCGCAAGAGTGCTCTCCTCACCTTTTTTGAGGACACATCTTTTTCATGGGTAGGGTCACCAGTCAGCAAATGTGTCCCCCTTTTTGCTCTTCACAATATGGCAACCCTGTCGTGGATGCATTAGCTGAGATTCCTGCATTGCGAGGGGTTGGACTAGATGACCCTCGGGGTCCCTTCCAACTCTACAATTCTATGAAGGTGTGTCCAAGTTAGACCAACCCGCCTATCTCTGCATCTCACCGCCCTGCTTACCCGCCGCCCACAGATCACCCTACCTGCGTCTGCAACTGCAGAGCGTGACGACAGCCTTTAGTTTCTATGTATATAGGCAGAAAATCCATTTAAGATATAGGCACTGTGCATTTGATGACAGGTTATGCAGAACAGGAAAAAGAGGCACAGGATTTTCAGCTTCTGTGCAGGCCCCTGGTCCAGCAACCTCTTGTTTTAGGAATGAATCGCTTTGAGTATGAAAATAAAGGATTTAGTAAGCAACCTAAGAAGAGAGGGATCCGTTTTACCGGAGCATGAACCCTTCTTAAGTAATGCTGTGTTATTCCAGCAGAGGGCGCAAAATGCCAAGGAATTGTGAGCAGGGAAGTATAGGAAAAAAATACTTGTTTTCCCCAGCCTCAGCCACAGGGCTGCACTGGAACCCGAGTTATAACAGGCTGTGGTGGGCAGGAAGTGGTTACAAAGGGGTAATAGGTACAGGGGAACAGGGGAAAGGAAATCAAATGGAAGGTTAAAATAAGATAAAACTGGCTTGCACACAAATACATTAGACTGGTGACCGGGAGTGGCAGCCGAGACCATCTAACACTGGTCCTGAAAGACCTACATTGGCTCCCAGTACGTTTCTGAGCACAATTCAAAGTGTTGGTGCTGACCTGTTAAAGCCCTAAATGGCCTCGGTCCTGTATACCTGAAGGAGCGTCTCCACCTCCATCGTTCAGCCCGGACACTGAGATCCAGCGCCGAAGGCCTTCTGGCGGTTCCCTCCCTGCAAGAAGTGAGGTTACAGGGAACCAGGCAGAGGGTCTTCCCCTGCTTTCGACTCTTGCCTCCTAGCCGCTACAACTCCCCACAAATCACCGCTTCCCTGTCCGGAGTCAGACACCAGCCCTCCTTCTCTCCGGGTACATGGTCTTCAGCATGCTGCCAGTCCCTGCGAGTGGATGGCTTTAAAGGGGATTGGACCAATTCATCGAGGGGGGGGGGATACAGCTATCAATGACTAATATCAATTGCCCTGAACAAAGGTCCGTATAGTTAAAGCTCTGGTTTCCCCAGTAG